AAACAGAAAATCAACGAAAAATGTTTCTCGAAATGCATCTCGAAACCGGGATACCGATTAGAAAATGGTGAAAAGGTATTTAAGTAACCCTTTGTTCTTATTGTTACTCTGATCTATTATTACCTACCGTAACGCTTTAATTTTCACCGTTTTAAGACGTGCATTGCCAAATGTATGGATCGTTATATGGAAGCGTGGAACATTGTATCCCGAACCTATATCAATCGAGTTCAACGAGAGAGTCATCCGGAGGGAGGTCTACAGTGAACTTGGTTTATTATGATTCGATTCACAACTCGTGAAAGTCGTGTTTTGATCATAGAATAGTAATTTCAGAAGAACTATTTGAAAGAATGATTTCTGTTACCAATAAACGTTTGGAGATATGGAAAGCCGTATCGACAATTTCGACAATTCGTCATAATGTAAAGGTTCACACCAATTCTCTTACGATCAGGCACATGCATTTGCATACATTTACTGTATATATTCATTATACCTTTGTCATATTAAAAAACGCCGCAGGTTTCTTTTTGTAATTGCAATTCCATTTCCTATTCCTATTTAAAATTAACGTGTGAAATTCGCAAACTGCAGCACGTTTGCATTTTGAATAAAGTGTGCTTAGTCATGGCAAAATAATTACTATAAGTAATGTAATTATTAATCACTATCATTTGAATAATAAACATTTAATCATTCATCTGTTAATAGAAATCAATACTGACCATTTTATCCCTAATCCATCGATTCTGATATATTGTATCGTAGTTCGTTTTTATCCAGTATGCATGCATATTTTTAAAAAGAATGGAAATTCTATATTCAGCATTAGTATTACTAGCAGAGATTTTTTTCCAAAAATACAAGACGTGACAGGTTTTCTTCTACATCACTCATGCAGATTATATTCGAGTGAAATTTCCGGATCTTAAGAACTTTTTCCGAATACCCATTCATCTAAATAATAAGGTACGGAAATTTCACTATTTCATCTGCACGGGTGATGCACCGGTGATGCACGAATGCCGTAAGAATACCTCCTGTGTCTTTTTTTATTTTTGGAAAAAATCTTTGCTAGTATTCCTAATATTAAAGAACAATTGATTATATAAAAACATTAGAAAATGCCCAAGACTATAAAAGGCAGGAGACGTCGTTTCTATCGCATAAACTCACCGAGATTATCTCTCTTAATTTAGGTTTGCGGCAATTACTAAGAACCATTCTCGGAAATCACAAATTTGTGTGTAACAAACATGTCATGTTTATATATTAAGCTGAAAAAAAAAATGTTTTTGACTTTCATTTTTCTCTTTAAGCGACTTTTACCAGTAAAGCAATTATTTTCGCCTGATTTTCTTCAAGTCACGTAAAAATGGGATTGCTAGCGGTAGGTCGTCCACTAAACTGGGAACAGACACAAAAATATAAGCACGCGGTTCACGAGAACGGTGTTCAACAATTTCTGTCAATTTATCACAAAATGAAAAAAGAAAGACACAACCGTTTCTTATTTGGAGACGAGGTACGTTTTTCTGATATCTTTTCTTTTTTTTGAGTGATATTTTATAATCTGGATACCGCAATTTTGTTTAGGTTGAGTATATGATCATTGATTATGATGATGAAAAAAAAAATGCAAAGTTGTCGTTACGAGCAGCTGAAGTCTTGCGTCAATTACAAAAAGAGGAAGAAGAGGCTTTAAAAAATCCCGATTCCGGGTATTTATACTGTTTCTCGTACTCTGCTTGCTGTGAAAAATAAATATTAATAATTGATCTTTTAAATTAGAGTAGTATTAAAGGCCCTATGGCGACCAGAGTATGGAAGGTATATGATAGAAGGTAGTTTGAAAATTCATTTTATCCTTTAGACGACAAACATTTGCCTGATCACTTATACCTGATCTGATCGTATCAGGAACACCTGGTACTCCATATGGTGGATCTTTAAAAGAACTACTTAAAGTTGAATCGAATATGAAGTTGCGTAGAGAGACCGCGGAAAAATGTTTGAAACCAAATGAAGCCATAATAACCTTAACAAGTTACCCTCGTCTCGGTGTTAAAGGTCAATTTTTGGAACCTCATTATGAACCGAGAGGTCCTGTTTCTAAAAGTTTATTCGTTCCTGACGAGATTATAAACGCGCATATTAGATTTCCGTGAGTGATTCTTTTTCCCTCTAATTTCTTTGACCTATCAAATCAATCGGTGTTTACCATTTCCTATTTATGATAAAGAACGCTCACAGCTAACATCAGGAAACGTCGAGGATCGAAAGTGGCTATTAATGTGCCAATCTTTCATGATGAAAAAACTCCAAAACCATTCATAGATCCGACCGTTCCCCACGATCGTAATTTAAATGAAGAATCTGGGGAAGATGCAACGCTGCCTGAACATATACATATGGATGCAATGGTTTTCGGAATGGGTTGTGGCTGCCTGCAACTTACATTTCAAGCTTGTAATATTGATGAGGCTAGACGATTATATGATCAACTGGCCATTATGGGGCCTATCATGGTAATAATTATTTGACTAGGAAATGGAAACCATTATAAGTCCGGAGCAAAATTAAATTAATTAATTACGCCAATTTTGTCACGTGAATAACGGACAAAAGTCCTCACATAGTCTCGTCGATCACAATTTGCTCCGGAAAATGGCGGTTAATGA